TTTCGTCCCAGAAGATATTTGCTAAAATGCTGCAATGACTTTACCACAGCTAGCAATTCGCGTCTTGTGACACAATAAGGAACTATTCCGGTTTTGATAACGACTTGCTGAAGTATGCTATCACGACCTCTTGGTCACCATTCCGTTGAGACAACACACCGCCAAGTCCTATATCACTTGCGTCCGTGTCAACTATAAATTCTTTGCTTGCATCAGGGTATCCCAGAATAGGTGTTTTGCACAGACGGTCCTTGAGCTCCTGGAATGCGATATTGCAACTTTCATCCCAGCAGAAATGGCGCTTCACCTCGGTTAGCTTATGCAGAGGTTTGGCTATATCTGCAAAGTTCTTCACAAATCGCCGGTAATAGGAGCACAAACCCAAAAATGCTTTAACCTGCGTCTTGTCTTTTGGAACCGGCCAATCCTTGACAGCGGCGATTTTCTCTGGATCTGTGCGGATACCTTGTTCCGATACTACAAACCCCAAAAAGTTAACTTGCCGTTGGAATAGTGAACATTTCTTCGGGCTCAACTTGAGGTTGGCACTCTGAATCTTCATGAGCACGCGTTCCAGATTTTGAAGGTGTTCCTCAAACGTACGGCCTACGATGATGATGTCATCCAAGTAGACCAGACAGGCATCGCCAATTAGCCCGGTAAGTACAAGTTCCATCAGCCTTTCAAACGTTGCTGGAGCATTGCACAACCCAAACGGCATTACTTTAAATTGCCACAGACCCTTTCCCGTCGAGAACGCAGTTTTCTCCTTGTCCTTAGGGTCAATTTCAACTTGCCAGTAGCCACTTTTTAGATCCAGCGTGCTAAACCACTTTACTCCTGTAAGCATGTCCAGCGTGTCATCAATTCTTGGCAAGGGATAGCTGTCCTTCTTCGTAACGTCGTTCAGACGGCGGTAGTCAACACAAAACCGCATGCTGCCATCCTTCTTCTTCACCAGCACCACTGGTGAACACCACGGACTAGAGGAAGGTTCAATAACACCATCCTTCACCATTCCTTCAATCATGGTTTCCACTTCTTTTTCACGTGCTACCGGCAATCTTCTTGGCCGCTGACGGATAGGCAATTCTTCTCCTGTGTTTATTTTGTGTTGAACTAAGCCAGTCTTTCCTATGTCAGCATCGTTTGATGAGAATACATCGGCGTACTTGAGTAACAACTTCTTCGCCTTGACCAATTCGTTCGGGGAGAGAACACTCCGACAGTCTTCCAAAAGTGTGGTCACTCTCGTTTCTGCATCCTTGCTGGGGGTCCCACTCGATATATATTGGCACCGACGTAACCAATCCACTTCCTCACAAGTACCAATCAGTGTGCCTTTTTCTATAATCTGGTCCCGGTCGCAAAGGTTCAGCACACGTACTCCTGAGATGTCAGTCGTCCTGACCAAGATTCGAGCTACTTTCCATGGAAGGTCATTGTTTACCCTTTTGTTTACCCTATTGTGTACCCCACAAGTACACAACGGTGGGCTTGCCCAGCGTTTCGAGGAAGACTAACCGGAACAATCGTTTCCGATCTCGGCGGAAGAACAATCTTCTTAATGCTGTACACGTTCCCTGGTAACGCACCTTCCATAAAAAGTTCCTCCTGTCCAAATTTCAAAACACCTTGCTTAACGTCGATCTCACAACAATTATTCCTCATAAAGTCTAGGCCTAGGATGCAGTCGTCCATTATATCAGCCACGATGACATTATGCAGGTAGATCACGTTGCCTAGCTTCAACTCCATCTCCTTCTCTCCACGGACGGGTATACGCTGACCGGTGGCTGTTACCAAATTAATGCGTTCTCGGTTGTATGCGGAGTCCCCAAGGAACTGACTTATAAGTTGGGAACTAACAACCGTACTAGAGGCTCCAGTGTCTATGGTCAGTTTACACGGCATTCCGTTGACCTCGCCCTTGATGATTAGACTGTTCCCATCATGGGTTTGTGAGATCGAGATCCTTGGGGCTCTTTTAACATCAGCCAGCACCCGCCCCGCAGTTCTGGCTTTTACTCGTTTCCCTGCTGCTGCTGGGCGGTGCTGTTGGCCGCACTACCCTCCTGAGATCGTTCACCTTCCCTTTCTAGGGCAGCTTTCGCTTAGGGCAGCTGGATCGAAGATGGCCCTTTTCCCCACAGCCATAGCACCTTGGGCTGTATCCATTGTTGCGGTAGCGAACTGTAGCTGCTGCAACCTCCCTGACGCGATGGGAACGATGATCCTGCCGCACGGCTTCCACTTCCAGTGCATGGGCCAAGGCGTCCTTAAGCGTCTCGTGGTGCCCGAGCCTCACAGCAGCTCTGACTTCCAGGTCGCGGATGCCCTCGATGAATGTCTGCACCAGGTTCCCTTCAATGAGCGCAGGTACAGACCGGTATGCTTTTCGCACCAGCTTCTCCACTTCTAGAGCCCAAAGCTGCAGGTTTTCGTTGATGCGCTGCACACGATCTTTAAGCTGCGCACGAAAGACGTGTTCCAGGTGAGCGTCGCCATATCTCGCCTCCAATGCCTCAAGGAGTTGCTCATAAGTCACTTCCTCACCGAGAGCTTCCAGAACTGTTAAGGCCTGGTCACGCAGGCCTAATGTGAGAGCAGTCATGGCCTGATTTTTATTCCAGCCGTTCGCCTTCATAACAGCCTCGAACTGGATTTTGTAGGCTGACCAGGAAGAAGTCCCGTCGAATGGTGGCACTTTGAACCCACGTAGCGAAGGTGTAGTAGCTACTACGGGAGCTGTAGTTCCATCACCCAGTTTGAGGTCGTCCAGCGTTTTCTTCACGTCAGCCACCACGTAATCAACCCGATTGTTCACTTGGTCGATTTGGGTTTTAGCTTCCTTGATTTGGGTTTCAGCTTCCGACAGGCGGTTGTCATGTTGAGCAACCTTATCCTTCACCTCCTTTATCTCTTTCCCAAAGGTAGCATGAAGGTCCTTAATGAGGAGCATCTGCTCTTCCGACCGACGGACCTGTTCCTCCTGTCGGCGGGCCTGTTCCTCCTGTCCGCTCTGCAGCTGCTCTTTCAACTGACGGACCTGTTCCTCCTGTCGGCGAGCCTGTTCCTCCTGTCGGCGAGCCTGTTCCTCCTGTCGGCGAGCCTGTTCCTGCAGCATCACCATCAGAGCACCTAAGTCAGGTGCTGCAGATGTAGGAGCTACCGACGGGCCTTCAGCCGGTGGCTGGCCCTCCGACGTCTGCGGCGTTGCACCACCAAATCTTCGTTGGTCCGTCTCCTGCTGGCGTTGACTTCGGGTACGGACACTCTCGGTTTCCTCCTTAGGTAAAATCGGCATGATTTTATCCCACTTCTGACACCAATTGTTACGAGCTTGAGGTTCGTGACAATAAAAATTGCCGATAAAATTACCTAAATTAACACTTTAATTTACTTTACACAAATTAAAGTTAAAAACACTAATAATTAAACACACTTATTCACTTTATTCCGCTCCGAAGCTTCGCTTGTTTCGCCAAATCAACACTACTCCATCGCATCTTGCAGCGCCTATATATTTAAATTAGCAAAGAAATATCCAGAATGTTCAAGTAAACACGCGCAAGGTACCGAGCGTTCGAGTTTCGACTAGGCGCTGTCGGTTGAGTAATTTGTGATGTCATTTTCTCAATGCTCCCCTCGCTCTCATTCCTGACACTAGATGGCGCTAGTTGACTTATTCATGCAACAATATTTAAATAATAAATGATTTAACGGTAGCAAATTTACATTTCATACATATTTTTTTAGAAATGGGTAATAAACATAAGCAATTCGGCTCTAGTAAAAATACAAAATCGTTGGCTTTCACCTTTGGCTCCGTGGCGGAGTGACTTGGTAATGAGTTGTAGCGCTGAGCGCCGCGGGTTCGAATCCCAGACGGAACAAAAATTTCTGTAACCTACAAATAATTGTTCCGGGTCTGTATGTTTGTCCTTGTGAAATTAATGTTTTTAAACTGCCTCCACGATGTACTTAGGAAAAATTCCTACTGTGGAAATAACATTATGATTAAACAAAGACATAAAAAAGATATGGAGCCGTGTTTGCGTTGAGTAGCTCAAGGGCGAAGTGTTCGCCATAAACGCGAGCAATCCGGGCTCGATCCACGCCGACACTAATGAAATTTTTAGTTTGATGAATTATGTTTACATTATGAAACAGAATAAAAGTTTGTCAAATGATATATATTTTATATAGTACATATTTTTAATTAGAACATATTTTATAATATACTCAATAGGGTGAAAATGACTTCCGACTTCAATGTACTAAAAGAATAAAACAATTTCACCATATTAGCCTCCAATTTCTATATACTATTTAAGCCATTATGTGGAAATTATTTTTTATTCTTTTAGTTCTAATAATATAAAAATGATTCGTGCAACTAAAGCCGACTTTCCACTATGGGATATAATATAATTTATATTACATCTCGATATATAAATTAATATCGCTCACCGTACTTTAAATGAACCGTTTCCACTGAGATATAATATATATTACATCCTAAACTATAAATATTTTTTCGATCGACGGAGCGATATTTTCATATTATATTTCACCTCCTGTACCCCGCACACCCTTCCGCGCCTCCGCTACGTCCTCAGATCATCCAATGACGAACGCACACTGGTTAAAAGAATCACACTTTGCCCTTCACACTGTGAGTGAATCGTGGGATATAATTTTATTTCGGGATATAATATGTATTATATCCCATAGTGGAAAGCCAGCTTAAAAGCAACTAGCGTCGAACTCGCCCTGACACGAACACATAGATAACATTGTAGTGTGCGTCAATATTACGCCGTTCCAAAGCGATCGCGTAGATTTCGACTTGGACATATTTGAATATGCGCTCTTAAAGGTATCATCATCATTACAGCCCCCTTCACAAGTCCACAGTGGAACATACGCCTACACCAAAGAATGAAGCAAAGCACAGTCCGAGAGATTAAGTATATAAGCTATAAGGCAAAGCTTACTTGAAGTGCGTATCGGCCTCTAGAAGCAAGATCAAAGCAAGTGAATAGTCTTTCTGCTTGATAGCGGCCCGACCTCGCTCGTGAAGCGCCATCCCCACTAGCAAGGCTTTCCTCTCTTCAGGAGGCAGGTCCACCGTCCTTCCTGATTGATCTTCAAGCTGAAAATTTCATAGATTATATACATCCTAGAATGCCACCACAATAAGACAATTCACTACTCCATATCATCCCCTGGGTATCGTTAACGACAAAGGGAAATCAAACAGAATTTGGGCATCAGCATCTTTCTGATAACAGCTCAAAAAATCTCTTAAAAAACTGCGGTTGCCAACCCGCCTGTCAAGAGTGGCTACTATGGCAAATATCCCTCATAATAGGCAATCTCTGGGTGAGGCCTATCTTCAGCAGTGGACTCTTGATAGACTGTAATGGTAATGGTATTCAATGTGTAGAATTCCCGTAAATATTACATTCGTTATTATATAATGATGATACACAAGTTATACTCTTAACTGTACACACGCACGCAAACACGCACGCTCGCACGTACGTACACACGCACGCATCGTGTCGTTTTAATTTTTTTTAATCGTCTCGTTTTGATAATTTTATTTTTACATATTTTACGTTTTAAATTTCACATATATAAACTGCACACGGTACAAACATGCAGACCCGGAACAATTACTTGCAAGCCATCAAACACTTGTTACGTGCGGATTCGAACCCGCAGTCTAATGATTGTTTGCTTCAATTTGCTTTTCTCTTTAAATTATTTTATTGGAATTGTTTATACCATAGAAATACTTTCCGTGTAGTGGCGGCGTGAGAGAATCTATGACCCCATTTCATGGCGCAGAGAGGCGACTATGGGAAACGCCAAGAAAATGTTATGGATTTCGATAGGTTCGGATTTCTTATGGATTCGACAACGACTAACAGCCTCAAAGGTGTGATACGTATGGTACTGCAATTGTTAATCCACCTGCCAAGTATTTTTATAGAATAAGGGTTACAAATAAGCACACAGGTCACCTGATGGTAAGTGGTTACTGTGGCCCATAAACATCTACATTTATCCTTGATTAAGAATTAAAATGCAGATTGTCACCCCTGAAGACTAAGACGGAATGCCTTGTGTTCAGTCACACTATACAAAAACCAGCAGCTTTATATTCGCGGTAGAGCCATGCTGCAGCTATACTAATAGTATAGTTGTAGCACTAATGGGTCAGTTCGACCGGGGATGGACCAGCATGGTCCTTCCCACACACAGAATACCAGCGTCAAATAGCAACTTAACAATGCTCTGTATCGTATGGTGAGTGTAGAGAATCTTAGACCCTTCTTACTGGAAAGAATGCTTTCCATCTTAGTCCTCACAGGTGACAACGCATTTGCATTTTGATTCGTAATCGAAGATAAGTGTAATGTCTATGAGCTACACTTACTATCAGGTGGACTGTGTGCTCGTTTGTCACCCTCGTTGTATAAAACAAATAATTAACCTGCTATTTTAAGCTGGTATTGTGAGAGTGTGGTCCTACCCTGGTCGAGCTGATCCATTTGTGTTGCAACCGTAATATAGCTGCGGCATGACTCTACCACAAGTGTTACGATATCGACAAATTCTCTGCAATGGGAGAGGCAAGACATATGTGCAGCAGTGGACTTTTATAAGCTGATAAAGAAGAAGATTAATATAGAAATACAGAGCTTAAGGACTTTTCTGTATATATTTTTTGTAAAATAATGGTGACAAACAAGCACACAGTTCACCTGATGATAAGTGGATGCTGTGGCCCATAGATATCTACTTAATATCTCCATTAAGAATCAAAATGCAGATGCATTCCCATAAAAGGTGTCTCCGGATCTCTACACTCACCATATGAAACACAGCAGCATTAAGCTGCTGGTATTCTGAGGGAACGTGGTCCCACTGCAGTCAAGCTGACCCATTCATGCTACTAATAAAATAGAACATCCATAATATTGCTGCAGAATGTCTCTACCACATAAAATAATACATTAAGACAAAAGTGTGGGTGGGACACTTTTTATATAACTATTTTCATATGCAACAAAAATATAAATAAATATTTTCCAATCACCTTTATATATTCATCGTCATCATCATTCACATCATGTACATACTCCGAAAGTAAGGCTGCGTCATCTCTAGTTGTTCTCATCTCTACATACATTTTGTCTTCTCTTTTCACTTCCTCTGGAGTTGCTAAAAAACACTAGTCTATTTAAAAACAAAACATGATAGAAGTAATGAGTGATATTAATTTACCGTTCAAAGTTGCGTTTCAAATAAAAGTTAGTCTCAGTGGTTGCTCTTCAATTTTGTCACCTTTTTAACTCTCTTATTACAATCAGTTCAGCCATTCTGAAGATTAGCTCGGACAGACACACAAACGAAAATTTAAAAAAATGGTTGCTCATGTTTCAATAGCGTGTAAATATTCTATACAAAAATATTGACAAATAAAATCAACAATAATTATGAAGAAAACTATGAGGACGTACGTACGTAGCTCACAAATTCGGACTGAAAAAATCGCAAAACCAGACTGAATTTTTTTTGTTGTTTATAGCACTTTGTTATCATTTGTCAAAAACAAGTTGAACTGAGATTATAGAACGTACGGGAAACGCATATCTTCAGTCTTGTGTGAGTATAGTATAGTATAAGAAAGGCGACAACACTCTCTTTAAGAACTACAGACCGATTTTCCTTCTGCGCTGCGTCTACGTGCTGTTTTCGAGAGAGCCTTCCGAACAAGACAGTTTTCGAAGAGGCATACATAACACATACATACCCTTCCGCAAATTGTACATAAGACTGAAGAGTACAGCTACCTTTTTCTTCCATTTCAGTCTACCATTTTGCCTTGCATAATATGTGAACTACGAGAAAGCTTTTGAATCTGTCAAAATTTGGGCGGTGCTTCAGTCCCTTCAGCGGTGCCAAGTTGACAGCAGGTATATTGAAGTGCTGAAGTGTTTGTACTATGGCTATCCGAATACAGACAGTACGTAAAGAGTACGAACATCCTCCCGCAGAGAGATATAAGACAGGGTGACACTATATCCCCGAAACTCTTCACCGCTGCGATAGAAGATGTTGTCAAGTTACTAAACTGGAAAGTACACGGTATTAACATCAATGGCGAGTACATAACTGACCATCGATTTGTCGACGATACAGTCCTTATATCAAAATCGCTGGAGGACCTAAGCACTCAATGACCTCAATAGCATCTCCTAATGGATAGATCTTAAGATGAACATGGAAGTTGTTGACGAGTATGATTACCTGGGACAAATAGTGCGACTAGCTAAGTCCAACTTCACCCGAGGGATTATTTAACGGATTAAACTCGGCTGGGCAGGGTTCGGGAGATTACGACATATCTTCTCGTCAGATATACCTCAAAACTTGAATACAAATTTGTACAACCAGAGTAGTGCCCAGTGAATACTTATGGTCATAGACTACTCAGGGTTTCTCTGTGTGATAAACTTAGAAATGTTATTCGCAGTAGAACCAGAGTAAACAACATAGCCCAATGGAATAGTAACCTGAAGTGGCAATGGGCCTGCCATATAGCTCGAAGAACCAAAAACCGATGGGTTAGAAAGGTTCTTGAGTAACAGCCTCGTACTGGTAGGTTTGGCAGGAATTTGAAGGAGTAAGGCGTTTTATTTGGTAGAGGTTTGGTCCCCGATTATAATCCCCGACCCCGCCATCCCCTTCTAACCTAACCTGTCCGAATCAGGGTGCCATAAGTCCCGAACTCGCTTTGCTCGCTCTTGCACTCAACAAAACACCAACATATTAGCTTTTATAATTATGTTAAATTATAAACATAATATATAATACAATAATAAGCACACTATGGCTCACACAGGTGCCTGCGATTTGCTACCATGGGCGGGACTGCTCTCCCTTCTCGCCTATGGCTTTACAAAAACACTTTAGGAGTAGGGCAGACAAGACTATGTGGTATTGGGGCGTGCTGATTTAATTTTAGTACAAATTTGATCAGATCAGATACCTATAAAATTAGGTTGCCTTTGCTCCCACCACAACCATAAAATTCTGCATGCTATCCAGATTTCACAGTAATATCGTATAATTTTTTTCTCAGAAGGGCTAGAACCCAGAGCCGTAAAATCAGTTAATAATAAAAAATTATCATTTTCAATACTTTACGCATTTTAGGTTATAATATATATATATATCCACATATATATATATGTATATATTTTTATCAAGTGACAGTAGCCTAATGGCAAGATGCGGACCCCGAACTCAAAAAGGTCGTGGGTGTACTCGATACGCACAAGTAGCACAAGTAATTTAAGCTTACCACGAGTGGTTAAGGGGAATATTAGTAATGTTTATAGCATTATCGATATTCTTTAAAAAAAAAGTATTTGAGCGAGTCCCTGGATGGTTTAGATTCACAATTGAACCAAGTAGGTGGCGTTGTGGTCGAGTTCCAGAAATCACAGGTATCACAAAAATATACAAAATATAAAATAATCGCTTTTTGTCTTAACAAACACCATTGAGGTCCACAGACTATTGAAAAATTAACAATAAAAATTCACAGCTTGTTCAGTCAATCAGTTTGGCAATACTTTAAAATTCTTTAGCGACAATCTCAACTCTGTGCGTCTGTTGGACCACAGACTAACCTGTTTGACAATTGACAATGGCAGTATGAATGTAAACAATGAATGTTTTATATACAAAATACAACAATGAATGTATTTTATTTAATGCTTTCAATGCCTTAGGGCACATATTTATACATAAATTTTATTAGTCTGCACTCCTTCATCATAGCAACTTTAATACGCAAAGGGTTTCCCTTGACATATTAATATATAGGTAATATCTTTGTATTAACTCCAAAAAAATAAACACTTCTTGTATTAACAAAACTAAACTTGTGTTATGTGTTGTGTGTGTGTTATGTAATTTTGACACTTACTATCTAAAACCAGAGCCATCAGCTGGTTGCCATTTTTTAGATTTTGTTCCTGAAGATTTAGATTCCGCTTTACTATTTGACCATTGGAGATGAGCTTCAATCTGTAAACAATATAAAAAACTAATTATATTCTTAATTTAATTTAAGGGGAGAGGCGCCCATGTCACTCATTTACATAAAAGGTAACAAATTATAAATTTGTGGTCCTATAAGGTTATTTATGGGATAAGCCTACGTACTACAGTGGACATTTGAGAGGCTGTGACGACCACTTATTTTTATTAACATTTTAAATCATTAACAAAATATATAGAAAATTACCTGGACCCTTGCATTCCGAGTTCAGTAGCAACAGCATTTATCAAATCTATTCCAAGTACATTCAACATCTTCTGTATCTTTATGATCTTGGGCTTTTCTTTCAGTGTTATTACTTTAACTCTGAATGTTGCCACTCCTGTCTCTTTAAATTCATCATTGGCCTTTACTCGGTCCATTGAGTGAAGTTGCAACTCATGCAATGCATTGAGGACCTGTTCTGGATCAAGCGCCAAATCAACAGCATACTTCTTAGCTAATTCCTGTAAAGTAAAGGCACAACTCCCAATATAGCAGAACTAAGTTGTTATTTAAATTTAGCAAATTGTGCAAATAACACTGCATAGCATAAAGCCCTATTTTAAAATCTTCTTAGATTAAAAAATAAAATAAAAAAGAAAATACAGTGTGTAAATAAGCTGTGCTGCGCCAACAACAGTCGTGGTAGCTCAGATGGCTAATGCTCGCTGTAAATATAACAGAATGTGAGTAAGTGTGTTTTCCTGGGTTCGATCCCCGCCGACACAAATGAAATTGTTAATCGCAATTTTAAGTGCTGATTTACCACATGCTCGGCAGTGAAGGAAAACATCCTGAAGAAACCTGCATGTTTGAGGAATAAGAGAAAAAAATTTCGAAGACGTGAAATTCGCCAACACGCATTGGGGCAGCGTGGCGGACACTTTCTTGCCCTAAAACCCTCTCAGAAATGAAGGGAACCCGTGCCCAGCAGTGGGACGTATATAGGCTGTAACTTTAAACAAGCGGTGAATGTGTCAAGTATACTATAGTCAAAAAGAAAGCCACCACAGTACATAATTCACACAGAGATAGGAGCAGAAATTCTAGTATATGCGCACACACACAGAACGGGTTTGAGAGTGGTGGTGCAGAGGAGGCATGATAGCATAAGAGAGCGTCATGCCATTTTGCTGTCATGGCATATGGATCGGTTTTAATACCAAGGCACATCAATAGATGTTACACATCAAAAACAACAACAAAGGCAATGATTGCAGATAGAGTCTGAGATAGAGATTCTCCATTCATCGCCCTGGTGCTTATTTTTATATCTGGTTGAATGAGTTGCTGTATAAGAAAAAAAAACTACTCACATCTATATTTTTCCCAGTTCAAATCCACAAGTGATTGACTACAAGTACAGATAACAGTAAGAACAGATAAGTATTAGTTTATCTATTGCGATGCATTATTATTTTATAGGGACTCTCACTAAGCCAGATTTTTCTATATTTATTCTTCAATTTTTGTTAATCCGAATAACAAAATTGTACAAACATTACTAATAGATATAAAACAAAATTGTAATCTTATGTTTAAAAACAAAGTAAGCTAAATTATTTTCTAATGAACTTACTATATAAAATTGTTTTGTTTTCTGATGTCCTTGTATAACTGCAGTACCATACAAAGGTTACAGATGCATTGTTACCTTGGGGGTCTAAGAGAGAATGCTAAAGGGTAGCTACCCAGACAGACTCCTAGGCAAATACGGAATCCTAGATTGATTGATGAATAAATTAACTAAAAATACAGCCTTATTAAAGTAATAGTTCAAACTTTTATGTTATATGGAGTGCATTATTCGAGGCATACTTACTTACCTTTATTATAACGGTTGAAAATCATAAAAACATGTGTGAAAACTTCAAATAGAATTTAAATTACGTTTAAATGCATGCCGGTTTACTTACGTGATAGCCGAAATTTACTTTATTCCCTAAATTAGCACAGGTAAAGGATTGCTAAGGTAATAAAAAATAAATAAGCAATGAACCTGTAAGCTTGTTGAAAATGTTTCGTCAGCATTCAAGTACGGTGGCTCCCATAATTTTATTTTCTCCTCGTTTAATTTGCTTCGAAGTTTAATTAACAAGTCTTCGTGCTGGAGATTTGTCTCCATAATTGTTGTAAGATAATTGAAGTTGAAGCAAATGATTTGCAGATTAATTGATTTTGAATATCAAAATAAAAATACAAGACAGACCAGTGTTGCCAACAGCGCTGGCCCTAATGCATGAAGTAGCCTAATATCGCCGAATTTCAGTTGTAGTAGCCTAAAGTAGCCCAAACACCAAAACATCAATATGAATAAAATAAAATATAGTTTTTATCAATTTATTTATAATATGTTCATAACACACTGATAAATAGGCATAAGCCATCTTTAAAACACGTTAATGAAATTAAAGTTAACATTTTAAAAACTACATAAACAAATAAACAAAAATTAGAATTATTCTGATTCGTCTTCTGCTAGCAATAATAAGACATCACCAAGACTTTCGCCGTCTTCAGTAGTAGTTGATGTGCTAGTACTGGCGCAAGATCCACCGGAGACATACATTTTTCTGCCAGCGTGCAAACTCACCATGTGGTTGCTTGGTTGAAAGTTGTTACAACACAAACCTCTTACATTCATATGGGTACAAATCCTAAGAATTCCGATCAGCATGTGTAGTTGCATACGATTCCTTAATTTTGTTTTGATTGTCCCCATTACGCTGAAAATTCTTTCAACGACGGCATTACTCAAAGGTAATGAAAGGCATCGTATCGAAAACTCTGCTAGTTCTTTAAACATCAGGCTTCCACCAGCATTCTTCATTTTTAGCACTTGTATCCAAACATTTACAATGTCATTAGGAGAAGCAGCTGTTCCGATTATCTCCTCAATGCGCATAGTGCTTAATACGCGCCATTGTGTTATAACAGCCTCTCGGTCAATATTGGGATCACCTAACTGCCATGGAAAATCTTTAATGTTGGGTTTGACGGTTGAGAGGCTTGGTGCAAAAAGTTAAATTTTTTCCACCACCGACACATTAAGCGGTAACCTGTCAACTAACTCTCTTACTAAGCGTACAAGAAAAGCAGAACATCGTTGCTTCACTTCTTTGGCTTGAGTCTTTTTTGCAAGTAAATCATTGAACTTTTCTCCAAAGTCGATTGAGTCCAGTGGAAGCAGTGAATTTTCAAATGGAGCTCCGGATTTTTCTAAAGCTCGCCTAACAGCTGCAATATCTGCTTCATGGAGCATTGATACAGAGGCATTTTCAGACAGACTTTGACTTCTCAGAAATATTGGTTTGAAAACACGTCTTGCAATGGAAAGTAAAAGAATCCGAAGATCGCTATATATTTTTGTGATATTTGCATCACTTGCTTGATATATATTATTCACAATTGACTTTTTATTCGGAGACACAAATATAATAAATTTGTATCATCATTATACATGGCAGCAAGCTCCCTTGCTGTATAATATCTTTCTGATGATTTCACCACATTAAAGTGAGTTTTTAGCTCAAGCCACTGATTGATGTTTGTTTTAACAGCTGAATAAAACGCCAGCCATCTAGTTGCGGATAGCTGAGTTAGTTTCAAGGGTTTTTTTTACCATCATTAATGGTTTCAAATAAGGTGTTGACACACACATTTCAATAGTTGTAAATGGGTATATCTGCTTGTAAGAGAGTGAAAAGGGAGTTATGTTTGCGACAAGGGTTACTTGCTCCATCAGTTCCTATTGAAATTAGATTTTGAAGATTCAAACCTATTTTAGACATAAAACTCTTAAATGATGTATATAGCTATCTGTTGCTTCAAATACTTCTTGAAAGCCTAAAAAATCAACAACTATTTTTTCTAGTTTTGAATTATAGTATCGCATGCAATATGCCATGTACTTTTCTGTTGTCACGTCAGTGGATTCATCCAATATAATAGAGTAGCTCTGGTTACCAACTTCTTCTAAAAGTTCCTTGAGCATGGCTGGTTCTAGAACATTTTTTATAATGGCCGAACACTTTGATCTATGTAATTGAATGTTTTCAAGAGAACTCCCTGTCCCACAGGTTTTTAACACATCTGTCAGATGATCAATGCTGCATATGGAGCTGTGAGCAGCGACATAGGCAGATATTTGTATGTTTATTATTTTTTCTGTCTATTACTAATTGAGGAGTAGCCAAATGATGCAAGCTTGGGTTGCTTTTTTGAAAAACTTAATTCTTTGTCTTTATGTGTTTTAGTTTTCATGTGCTTTTCTAAATCCGTTTTGTGTGCACGGAGTGGTGTGATACATAATTTACAAAATGCCTCACCTTCACCACTATCCGTCAGTACAACAGGTGCTCAACTAAGCCAATCTGTAAAAGAAATTGAACTCAATAATACACTAGGCAGTAGGTATGCATATATTGTATGTACCAGATAGGTATGGTACCGGTGGTTGATAAAAAGATCATATTTCTTGCTATTTGTGCAGTTTCAATCTACCTAATACATCTTAACTAGACTGGGTAAATATTAAAAAAAAAATGATTGTGAAACTAAAAACCACGACTTCTAATTTAGTCGGGAACACAGGTCTGGAAGTAGTAAGACCATGTAATAGATAATATACCTACCTACATCACACAAAACATTAATATAAAACGGTACTTTAGTTTTTACTTACTTTTAAATGCTTGCAGTTTTTCCCATTCATCACGATAGTGCTTGATATATTTACCATGTTTACCCATTTTACAAAACAAACACAGGAGAAGTTGTACAAAGCGAAAGTGACTAAGGAATAACCGGAATTTATCTGAACTATTTAGTCAGTACAACACAGATAATTGCGGTAGTCATTATTCATAATAGAATACATGTAAACCTATTGCACTCTAAATTTGGTTTCATAATAGCTAAGACAAATTCAGGGTATTCCCCGAAAATAACCAATCACAAACAAATAGGGTGACCATCTCAATATCGGGCCTGTTTACATACTAGGTAGTATAAAAAAAAACTTGTCCCTAGAGTAGCCTAATTGGCGAGTCCTTTTTGATTTTTTCGTCGCCGATTCTCGTTCTGAGTAGCCTAAATGGCGAAAAATCGCCTGCGTTGGCAACACTGAGACAGACAGCAGTAGACAATTTTTTAAAATTATATAAAGGCTAAGGGATCTAGGTCCATACTGCCTAATCTATCGTGTAAATCTGCACGATAAAATAAAATACTGTGTCTGTCTGTAATATCAAAATAACTGTATCATAAATGAACTGAGCTATGAGATATACAATCATTTTTAAAATATGTGTTGTATTTCTGTCTGTTTGTCTGAACTAATGGTCGGAATGTCTGAACCGATTGTAACGAAACTTCACAAACAAACTGAGAGCAACGCCAGGAGTGATTTGGGCTATTTTATCCCAAAAAACTTGGTGATTTTCATGTAATGAAAAAACTAAAATAAATGGTACTATTGAGACAAGGAGAAAATTAAAAATCAAACAATAGAATTGGTAATTCATGTTTTAATGGCATGCGATTAAACCAGTTTTAGAGCAGGTCGTAAATTTCGTACGAACTGTCCTAATTTAGTTGTTTGTGGAAATCTTAATTGAAATTGTAAACATGCACATACATTTTATAAATACTGATTTCAATAAGGCTTTTAAGAAAGTTAGAAGCAAATAGTTTTTCAGGCTCTATGCTTACGTAATTTAGGAGTTATCTAGAAAGCCAAAATATTTTTAAATTTTAAATTTGTTTATTTTGGGTATTTAGGCTCAGTTCTATTTAATATGCTTATTAAAGAAATTTCTAAATTTCATTCTTATTGTTTTATATAAGCCTCTGACATTAAATTCTGTAAAATCGTGCTTTTTCATAAGGATTTAATTCGTCTATCATAATAGTGCGATGTTTAGGAAACTAATCTTAAATAATGTGTACACGTTCAGATAAATTAAGTACATTTTTTCATTAATTTATTCCCTCATTGGTGTTAACCAAGCAGTGGAGATTGTTATGGGGCTCGGTGTAATATTTGTAAAAAGCTTATCTACATATATACCACAATTATAATCTGTTTCTAGAGTAGGCGGGAAAACGGTCAACGATACATCGTACTATGTTTGCGTAGATTTAAAACGATACCTGTCGCTTTTCGTTCATTACAAACAATTTTCATACGGTATAGGATGCAGTGAATGACGCGGTCATTCAGAGATAATAAACCTGTCTAAAAACGGCGTGCTGGGAGACTACCTCACCTTGTGATGAAATAAGAAAATATATTAAGAAGCCTGTTTGAAATTGAATTAAATCTAAATTGGTCTTAGGGTAGATTCCATTGAGTTATACAACACTAGAGGAGCAAGCCACATTACCGCACGTCGAAAAAAGTGTAACCACTATCCAAACGCGACGACGTAGCTTTGAAACTAATAACAATTTTAAATAAACATATATCTATCTCACTTACACAAGTTGCGAAAACAATATCGTCGCTACGATTAGATAAAGATGGACACACAAACGTGCAATGGCGGGTTGGTGTGGCTTACTATATGAAATTTTACCTAAAATACGCAATAAAAATGAGTTTTTTTTTAAGCTGCAGTTAATTGTTTTTATATTAAAAAGTATATTTTATTTTATAATCTTTGTTGCGTCCCCTTAGAAAAAAACGGATACAAAGCTTATCAGATAAATAGAAGTAAACATAATGATGAAATAAAACATATTTTTATAAGTATTTTTATTGTACTAATAAATCAAACAATTTAAAAGAGGTAATAAAATATAATTAATATAAAATTTATATGAAATTATAACTAATATATAATTATTAATATAAAATAAGTAGGTCATAAAATATATTTAATAGATAATTCATAAATAAACTAAAATAAGAATAATTAATTACTTTGTATGAAAGTTAAAACGTGGTTTTATTATAATTTCCAAAATATTTAAAATCAGAGGTAACAAATTAACTTACTCCATTAATTATATAGTCCCTCATTAATGTAGGATAATCACAAATGCGGAAAAGTGGCAACATTGAACCTAAATGGCAATATTCGATAATTTTATTTAATTATTTGAGGTTTTTTACGTTTATATGAAAACAAGAACTAAAAATTATGTGTTGAAAGTGATCCCGCTTGATTTGTTACGTTTGTGTGACCTTGAATAGCATTCTTTCACTACGCATTTACTCATTTTTTGTCGCGGCTCAACTCTGTCGGCGTCACATTGAACACTGAACTGACGTTAGCTAGGCATATGGCTGTGGCCATATGTGCAGTGGCAACGCTTTGATGCGGTTATTACTGATCTAGTGTAATATATAAATCAATTGGGTAGATTCGCTAAACATGTTTTTTTAATTCTTATTATTTTTCAATTGTGAAGATCTCTGGACACAGGATACATATAAATAGACATAACATAATTTATATGTTGGTTACCCCCTGTAGCTGGCGTAAAGGTCACTGGTCATTTCTCCTTACTCCCTAGAAACAAACTTTGGAAAGAGTTAATAAGATCACCACAAACATTAGGTTTTGCTATAAATATAGCAAAGTATTCGTATTTTGTATCCGAACTAAACTATTAGTTATTATTTAATAAAAAAAGTAAGCACTATACTATTATACATAATGATTTCTTTTATTTACATGAATAAAATTGATTTTTATTTATTACATAATTTTTAATTTGAAACGTCGGGAATTAAAAATATTTCAAATAATGAGTTGAGGTGCATAAATTGCACATGTTTATTTACTGCTTCAGACCCGCAACAGTTATACGTTTATATTATTACATAGGTGTAGTATGTAGATCTTGCCTCATTAGTCTACTAGTTATAAACGCAACTGTTGGTCAAGAAATTCTAAGTACATACCCGGAGTCAGGAAGTACTAGAAAGTCTCACCCCCGTACCTCGGAAATCAAGTAATGCCATTGGTTCTGCGCTTGATCTCGTGTCGGTTTACCGTCCTATTAGACTATGAGAATGAAGGAATAGATGATGCCTCCTGTGCTTGCGCATACACTTGAGCACTATAATCCTGTCCTGCACTAGTCTCCGTTGAGGTTGACCGCCGTGCCCGAAATTCGGTCAGGAGGACATTATTGTTGCGCACCCAAGTTGACGTCAGGTACATGGCACTAGTGCCATCTAGTGTCGGGGACCGGAGCGAGGAGGGCTTCCTAGAAAATGTCAATCTTGTACTTTCGACCAACAGCGCCATC